GTAAGTTTCACGTTGGTTTAATATATTCGTTCAGGCCGGCGTAAGCCCGCCGTTGCAGCGTCAAAAATAAAATAAAATTACACAACGTGTTCAAGAGCAAATATCAATGGAAAATGCCCAAGTTGTGTGGCAAGTGTAGTTTGACAGCTTGGCTTTTCAAATTTGCTTGTAACGCATATATAGGTTCTTTTTCTTCGTTGCAAACAGGTAACCTGGCTTCTTACTTATGTTCATGATAAGGGCCGAGGGCGAGGATGATCTGAACTGCTCGCTTTGCAACACCTCTGAAACAGAAACTCAGGATTGTCAAAAATGATCATATGTTTCTACTGGAATCGATGGGTGTAAATGAAATAGACTTTCTAATTATCAAAAGACTTGACAGACATTCTGAATCATCATCTAGTATGCAGTGCAGGTACGTGTAAACTAAGATAGGAAAACAGATCTCTACCTAACACGAGCAGTGACTAGCAGGCAAAGGCCCAAAAAGCATCTTTGCTTCTTCCTTTTCTCACATGCATGCATGATATGATGATAAGGATTTATAATTAGTTTCTACTCCCTCCGTTCCAAAATAGATCACTCAACTTTGTACTAACTTTAGTACAAAGTTGGATCATCTATTTTGGAACGGAGGGAGTAGTATAAACGCACGCTACAACTTTCAGGAGCATGTATGTATATCCATTTGAAAAGGTCAAGTTGTGTATGCTAGCTGCAGAGATAACGACAGGCTTGGGAAGCATGCATGCATCCACCCAGCCAGTGGCACGAAGCAGGTAGGCTTCCAAGGGGGCTTAATTAATTGGATAGAGCTGGTGGGAGTGGGAGTACTCGAGCAGGTAGGCTCATGCACGATGGTGCTTGGAAGCAAGCATCATATGCCAGTCAAAGCAAGGGGGGACGCGATAGAAATGCTATAAAGGCCCAGGGAAAGGGAATGCATCGATCTACTACTCAGCCTACACTGCTTCCGCACCCATACACAACACACTCACGCGCACACGCCCACAATTTGTCCCAGCAATGGAGATGGAGGCGGCTCCGGTGAGCGCGGTGACGGGGGCCCTCAAACCCGTCCTGGGGAAGCTGGCCACGCTGATGGGCGACGAGTACAAGCGCCTCGAGATGGCGCGCGGCGAGGAGATCAAATCCCTCGCCGACGAGCTCTCCGCCATGGACGCGGCTCTGCTGGACATGTCGGGGGAGGAGGACCCCGATGCGCAGGACAAGGCGTGGATGAACGAGGCGCGGGAGCTCTCCTACGATATGGAAGACTCCATCGATGACTTCATGCGGACGATCCATGACGAGGATGTGAAGCCGGACCACGGCCTCTTCATGGAGAAGATGAAGGATTTGCTGGGGAAGATGAAGGCCCGTCGTCAGACCGGCGATGGTTTCAAGGAACGGATCAACAGGGTGAGCAACAGAAATGGAAGGTACGAGACCCGTGGGACATTCTCCAACAACGCCCATGCAACTGTTGACCCTGCAGCTATTGCCATGTTTGAGCTTTTGACGAAGCAAGATGGACCCAAAGCTGAGGTGATCAAGTTGCTCATTCAAGATGAGGCTGACTGTGAGCCGCTGCTGGCTGAAGTGGAGGGTGGACATGAGTCATTGCTGGCTGAAGAGGAGGGCGGATGTGGCCCCCCGCGGGCTGAAGACAAGGACGGATCTGAGTTGCCATTGGTTGAAGAGGAGGATGGATGTGAGTCACCGCTCACTGAGAAGGACTTATGCGAGTCTCTGCAGGTGGAAGTAGAAGAAGACGAGCGTGAGTCGCCCAAGGTGGAAGAGGAAGAAGAAGAGTGTGAGTCACCAAAGGTGGAAGAGGAGGATGTATGTGAGCCAGCGCCTGCTGAAGAAGACGAGTGTGAGTCGCCACAGGCAGAAGGGGAGGCCCCATGTGAGTTGAGAACACGAAAACAACCCAAGCTGGTCGCCATTGCTGGAGCTGGAGGAACAGCTCTTGCGAACCGAGTGTATGAAGAGCTCAGAGTAAAAGATTTTGACTACTGGCCTTTTATATCACTGTCACCAAATCCAGACATGACAAGTACCCTGACAGCTCTTCTCCTTGAACTTACCGGTGAATTAAAAAAAGAAGCAAGCGTGCAACAACTGATTACCGATATCAACGAATTGCTACTAGACAAAAGGTATTGTCTGTACTCCTTTCTACTCGTTGTCCTCTTGTTGACAATGCAAGTTATTTGTCATATGTCACATGAAAAGGGGATATGCATGTAAAGTTGTCATCAAAGTAATTCTGAAAACTAAGAAAATTGATTTAGCATGTTGTTAGAAGATTTAATGGTAAACTTTTTGTATTTTGTTCATGCCGAAAATATCAAGTAAAATAGAATGGAGGGACCATGTGACGTGCGTAAGAATCAACATGCTCTAAGAGCGCCCGTTCCACTATTTATCAATTTTCCCATTATGACATATATCGCATGATCAAGATTTACTACATATGTAAAAATCATACTGTAAATCTATAATGTATTCCAAGTGAATGTCAGTCAACTAGGAAGAAATGATGTGTAGAGATTTCAAACAGGAATGCCATGTATTCACTGAAAAATGAATCAGGAGAATGGCTTGTGTATGAAAAAAAATCAAAAAAGTTGTAGTTTTATGTTAGACGGCGTAGTTGTTTTGGTTCTGTGAAGTTTACTCTTCATTTGCGGAAACCGCTACTGGAATAAGTTAGATCTTTATTTCATTTCAAGGAAAAGCCTGCCTGCTTGTTCAGCACCACCCATTCCCATGGGAATATATGGGTTTTTTCGGTCCAGTGGGAGGACTCCAACAGTTTAATTGTGTAGTCCATTAACAATACGGATAATGTTTATGTACAACTAGGCAATATATAAAACTAGCTGGTAGCTTGACAAGGATAGGCGGCCTGCCAATAATATGAATGTCTATGTGTTAATAGAGTAATTTTGACCAAAGGTGTACTAAGTTCCTAAAACAAATCAAAACACGACTCAAATCTAATTTGGAATGGGCGGAGTGGTGGTCAGAGTTGTATTTTAGTGACCTTGCACCCAAATGATAGCTTCTCGAAAACTGGAGGCATTAATACCATCTTCAGTACCGTTTAGTCACCCACGTCAGGTTTCTTATTTTCTTTTTATACTCCTACCCTTGTCAAGAAGAAAAATATTTTCTTTATTTTCCTTTCAGTGATTCGTCATTATGTTAAAGCTACACTAATATCACTCACAAATCCATGTGCAGATACTTAATTGTCATTGACGGTATATGCCAGAAAGAAACATGGGATGTCATTAAGCATGCATTCCCCATGACAAGCTGTGGCATAATAATCACCACTAGCCCGTGTGAAGATATCACTGAATTATGCCGGTCATGGTTCAATGGGCATATTTACCATATAAGACCTCTTGGTATGGTACATTCAAGACCGCTATTTCACCAAAGATTATTCAACTCTGATGACGACTGCCATCCACACCTTGAAGAAGTTTCTGATAAAATATTGGAAAAATGTGATGACTTACCTTTGGCAATCTTAGCTACATCTGGTTTGTTGGCTAACACACAAAGAACAGAGCATCTATGGAATCACATGGCAGATTCAATTGGGTGTGCACTTGAAACAAGTCATACCATCGAAAGGATGATGAAGATTTTGTCACTTTGTTATTTTGATCTTCATCCTCGCCTCAAAACTTGTCTCTTGTACCTCAGTATGTTCCCAAAAGGGTCAACCATTAAGATGAAGGACCTGATATGGAGATGGACTGCTGAAGGATTCTTTCATGGAGAACAAAAAAATGCAGCACATGAGTTAGGAGAGAGGTGTTTTAATGAGCTCCTGAATAGGAGTTTGATCCAGCCTGTGAAGATAGACCAGTATGGTAAGGTTAAAAGCTGTCAAGTTCATGACACAGTTATGGACTTCATCATATCCAAGTCTGTCGAAGATAACTTTGTTACTTTTGTTGGTATTCCATGTCCAACTATTGATCAGACACAAAGCAAAGTTCGTCGATTCTCCCTCCAAGCTACAGAAGGCTATTCTTCTCCAGATATTAACTTGGTATTGTCTCATGCCCGATCACTTAAAGTATTTGGATCACTGTGGACAATCCCTTCTCTAGATGAGTTCAAGCATTTGCGTGTTGTGGACTTTGGAGGTTTCAGTGATTGGGGAGACGACCATCTTGCAAATATTGGGAGGTTATTCCAGCTGAGGTACCTGAACCTCTCTTGGACAAGAGTATGGGAGCTCCCAGAAGAAATAGGACATCTATCTTGCTTAGAGATGTTGGACCTAACAGCCACAGGGGTATCCAAGTTACCATCATCTATAGTTAATCTAGAAAATTTGGTTCATCTATTAATCGGCGAGTTTGTTGAATTTCCGGAAGGAGGAATTGGGAAGATGCAAGCACTAGAGACATTGAAACAAGTCAGAGCCTTTAAGCAGCCAATTCAATTTCTTCAAGATTTCGGCAAGCTACAGAATCTGTGGAAGCTGAATATTGATCTTACCAATAATCAAGAGGACACTGAAGATACAAAGGAGTGCATGAAAGCAATTGCATCTTCTCTCTATGAACTAGGCACACACAATCTTCGTTCTTTAACTATCTGGAACTGTGATTACAGCTTATTGATGGAAGAATGGTGCCCGACTCCGGTTGGCCTCCAAAAACTTACGACCTGGCAGTCAACCTTTCCACGGGTTCCGGATTGGATGGGTTCCCTCGTCAACCTTCAGCAATTACGGTTTGACCTGGAGAGAATCAGCTATGAAGATCTCTGCATCCTCGGAGGCTTACCTGCTCTGCTCACTCTGAGCCTAGTAGGAAAAGAAATGTCTGAAGGGAAGCTTACTGTTAGTGGTGAAATGGGATTTCCAATGTTGAGGGATTTCACTTACGGCATGTACCCTGGGTTAGGGATAAAGATGATGTTTGAAGCAGGATCCATGCCCAAGCTAGAAAAGCTCAGGATTGATTTCACCCCAGCAACGAATGGATATCTCTTCAGTACCGGTGGTCTAACTGGTAGTGGTCCTTATGATTTCGGAATCGAGAACCTCCCCAGCACTCTCACGACCGTCGTATGTGAATGTAAGTCATTTGATGGAGATTGCACTCTTGAAGCCACAAGGGCGGCCCTGGAGAGAGCAGTCAGCACACACCCCAGCTGCCCTGTTCTGGACTTCTCCATCTACTAGTTAAGCTAGGCCTCTTCATTCAGGTACGTAGTAGCTAATTCTTTCTTCCCCAACATTTTATATCACTCCCTACATTGATAGCTCTCCTTTGTTGCCTGCCACAATTTTTTTTCCTTCAAGTGTTGTATTAATTACCAAGTGGCTGTTATTTTTCCTTCATATTTATTTTTACTTTTCATCCTCTTTTGCTCGTTGTTGACAAGCTAGAAACAAGGAAACACTCCTTTATGAATAGTTTCTCAAACTAAACAGCTTATAAGCTCTTACCGGTTAGAAACAGTTTAGACAGTTTAGTTTTAACTTAATTACCATGCATTACTTGTGATCACTCCTGAATTCTAATGGTACGTTTCAATCATTTTCAGTGCCACTCTCCGGATTATTCCGTGTCAGTAGAGTGAACGATCCAAGAATCAGGATTCAGGAACATCACCAACAAGAAGCTGTAGCTTAAACAATGTATAGTTTCTTCCTCACTGGACAACTAGTAGTTCATATGTCACTCAGGATGCCACAATTATTCAGTGAAATGATATAAATTCCTATTTTTGAATCAATCATTCAAAAGTATTTTCTTTTCTTCCTATAGTGATACTTTTTTGCTAGTTATGCAATTCCCTTCCCATTAATAGCATCAGCAGGAAACCCACCGCACACCATTTGTTTCGAACGGTGGCTATGGGATGAAAACTTATTAGCACAGCTATAACTATAATAGTAAGATTATCTCTAAATGCCAGGAGTTTTAGTGCAAGCTGCAAAGTAACAGAGACCACACAGCAAGCTAAAACTGAACCGCAATGGACGAAGGGCATGTATCAGCAAGTCTGAGGCACGTACCTCATATCCATCATCTCTCGCACCTGTAGTCCGCAGAGTCTCAGAACTCATCACCGCCGCTCCTTCATTCAGAAGTTTGTGAGCCCCTTTCACACAGAGCATGCTTATCTGTACCTGACTGCATGTCTGCCTAATACATCAGCATCTCTTGCACCTGTAGTCTGAACATTCATCACCGTCATAACTTGATTCAGAAGCTTATTTGCACCTCCATGAAGCGCATCCTTGGCTGCAACTGGCAACATGTCAGCTCAGTACATCGGCTTATCTGTACCTGACTGCATGTCTGCCTAATACATCAGCATCTCTTGCACCTGTAGTCTGAGCATTCATCACCATCATAACTTGATTCAGAAGCTTATTTGCACCTTCACGAAGCACATCCTTGGCTGCAACTGGTAACATGTCAGCTCAGTGCATCAGCACAGCACATAAGTGAACATGATCACAAAAGGGACTTCACAAGCTAATGTAGAACTTATTAGTAAAAGCAGGTAGTACTGTACGGTACTTAGGGACAGTAAGCTTATTTCCACAGTAAGCTGCTAGAAGCCTCAAAAGAACTCAGTTTAGGGAGAAGCCCATTAGAACTTATGAAACCTATGAGAAATTCCTTCTCGGTGCCTATTTATCACATCCATGTTAAGAGCAACTAGCAGGACTACCAAGGAAATAAAGCTCAAATTTTCCTTTCATTCAGGAAATATATGTAGCCAACAAATATGCAATGACATGACAAAAAGAAAGGTTTGGAATTAGAAGAACTCTTTGTGAGAGTCTGATTGAGGAGAAGAAAAAAAACTGTGCGTTGTTTCAGTAGCAGTAGCAACTAGATTTGTGGCACTTGGCAGTCTAGCTACATGAGACGACAAACCAAATATACTGCTGACAAAGAACAAATGCATTCGCTGTAAAACTGGTCCGTAAATAACATGAGCAAAATCACAATAAAATGAGTATTACTGGAATCTCAAATTATTCTCGATGTACTGCTGGACAATAATTCAATCAGACAGATCTATTTTTTTTCAAATTATTTTAATCAGACAAACCACTCAAAGCTTGAACGAAGAAAATGCAGAAGTACAGATTTGATACTTACTCCTGTAAAGAAATATAAGAGCGTTTAGATCACTACTTTAGTTATCTAAACACTCTTATATTTCTTTATGGAGGGAGTATTTATTAAAGGGAAAGAGCCAGCCTTGTTTACATATCTTTCAGGTACCCACTAAGAAAGAAATTTTATATGATCTATATTCATTTCATAAAACAGAAAAAATGATAACTTATCAAATGACTCAGTGAATACTAGTCACTGGATTTAGACATGCTTATACATTACTGTATGTCATTTAGGCTAAAGAATGACATCTGCAAAAAAGGTAGCTGTCATTTTTTTTTCATGTGGTTACAATTCTCCTAGTGAATTATTATACTCCCTCCGTTCCAAAATATAGTGCTTCCTCTATCCCCGTGCTTCAACTTTGACCATAAATTTAACCAACGAGACCAACTGCGGCGGGAGCAAAAGTTATACCAATGAATTCATATTCAAAAGAACTTTTCAATTATATATTTTTTTTCTCCCACCGCAATCGGTCTCGTTGGTTAAATTTATGGTCAAAGTTTGACCTCGGGAAGCGCGGGCGCTCTATAATTTGGAATGGAGGGAGTATTGAGGTATTTTGAATAATGAACAATAATGGAGTTCAGACTACAGGACAGAATCATACGAAGAATATAAGCATAACTACCCACTTGAAAAAGTGCCAAATTAAAGAAGTAATGCTGATATATGGTCTACATTTCAGAATATATGTTATAATACATCATGTCTTAACATATTTATCACGTCAATTTTCATTATGATTAAAATGCTAAGTGGTGATGGAACACTGATTCTTCGAGGACCACATGTATCCATTTGAATGTAAAAGATATATGGAATATAGATGCAGAAGTCAACTTACTGCTAAAAACTGCAGTGAGTGAACAGGCACAACAATCTGTATCTATATTCAAGACTGACAAAACTAATAAAAACTGTACTTAATTGAGGCAAAATGTGCAGCTCCATGGAAGAAGTAGTAGTCAGCCATATAGATGAAACACAAATAGTCGATCATCAAAATGGTACCAGTCAGGCGTTTACTACTAGTCAAAGTTTCTCCCGGACTTACTACTAAGAGAAGTGACCAACATGACATTCATTACATTACAAAAGGAAAAGGTTGGGAAAGCAAACCTGCAAAGAAATGTTCTGCCCTCGATTAGCTAAAATCACTAGAAAAGGTTTCAACCAGTTCCATATTCCAGAAAAGAATGATATTTTTTAGGAGAAATCTCTGATACTGCTGACATTTCCCCCTGAAGTAAGTGCAGTCAACAAGCCAGCTGCGGAAGCTTCAAGGGTGAAGCTCCTCTCATCAATTTCCCCACTGGGCACCTCCTCTTTTTGAAGTAACATTCTAACGATGGCATTTAACATACGGGAGTCGGCAGCAAACCATTCTTGCAGAGATCCTTCTTCTAAAAGCTTTGTATCATTAATCTATACGTAACAGCATCGGGCACAAATCCTTTGGCCGAGATTCCATCCAACAAACCTGTGGCTTCTTCCTTCCTGCCAACTTTAAGCAATGCACTAATCATAATATTATAAGTCCTGATCTCAAGTTGATAATTTCTTGAACACAGGTTTTGAAACATTCTTAGTGCTTCATCCATACAGTTATTTCTACACAGACCACTGAGAATTATGTTGTAGGTCACAATACAACAACAACAACAACAAAGCCTTTAGTCCCAAGCAAGTTGGGGTAGGCTAGAGGTGAAACCCATAAGATCTCGCAACCAACTCATGGCTCTGGCACATGGATAGCAAGCTTCCATGCACCCCTGTCCATAGCTAGCTCTTCGGTGATACCCCAATCCTTCAGGTCTCTCTTAACGGACTCCTCCCATGTCAAATTCGGTCTACCCCGCCCTCTCTTGACATTCTCCGCACGCTTTAGCCATCCGCTATGCACTGGAGCTTCTGGAGGCCTGCGCTGGATATGCCCAAACCATCTCAGACGATGTTGGACAAGCTTCTCTTCAATTGGTGCTACCCCAACTCTATCTCGTATATCATCATTCCGGACTCGATCCTTCCTCGTGTGGCCACACATCCATCTCAACATACGCATCTCCGCCACACCTAACTGTTGAACATGTCGCCTTTTAGTCGGCCAACACTCAGCGCCATACAACATTGCGGGTCGAACCGCCGTCCTGTAGAACTTGCCTTTTAGCTTTTGTGGCACTCTCTTGTCACAAAGAATGCCAGAAGCTTGGCGCCACTTCATCCATCCGGCTTTGATCCGATGGTTCACATCTTCATTAATACCCCCATCCTCCTGCAGCATTGACCCCAAATACCGAAAGGTGTCCTTCCGAGGTACCACCTGACCATCAAGGCTAACCTCCTCCTCCTCACACCTAGTAGTACTGAAACCGCACATCATGTACTCGGTTTTAGTCCTACTAAGCCTAAACCCTTTCGATTCCAAGGTTTGTCTCCATAACTCTAACTTCCTATTTACCCCCGCCCGACTATCGTCAACTAGCACCACATCATCCGCAAAGAGCATACACCATGGGATATCTCCTTGTATATCCCTTGTGACCTCATCCATCACCAATGCAAAAAGATAAGGGCTCAAAGCTGACCCCTGATGCAGTCCTATCTTAATCGGGAAGTCATCAGTGTCGACATCACTTGTTCGAACACTTGTCACAACATTATCGTACATGTCCTTGATGAGGGTAATGTACTTTGCTGGACTTTGTGTTTCTCCAAGGCCCACCACATGACATTCCGCGGTATCTTATCATAGGCCTTCTCCAAGTCAATGAACACCATATGCAAGTCCTTCTTTCGCTCCCTATATCTCTCCATAAGCTGTCGTACCAAGAAAATGGCTTCCATGGTCGACCTCCCAGGCATGAAACCAAACTGGTTTTTGGTCACGCTTGTCATTCTTCTTAAGCGGTGCTCAATGACTCTCTCCCATAGCTTTATTGTATGGCTCATCAGCTTAATTCCACGGTAATTAGTACAACTCTGAACATCCCCCTTGTTCTTGAAGATTGGTACTAATATACTCCGTCTCCAT